AAAAAATCTATTTATAATTATGTAACTCCGTTTATTGGAAATAGAACCTCGGTCAAACACACACACACACATTAATAGAGACGACTCTTGAACAATTCTCTTAACGGGCAACCAACAAAGGATGGGTATGAAATTCATGAGTTGTTTCATAGTTTGGTATTGAAATTTAGATAGTGTAAATGTGGAGTACTTACTTTGAAATTCTTATTCTGGGCACCGAAATCACAATTTACCGATAAATTTGCACTAAAAAGATCAATGATGGAAACCATAGCATGCACCAAGACGTGGAGGCTTCTGGAGCATCTTTAATTGAAGGTTTTGAACAGGTTTGAAAATACAAACATGTAAGGTTTCTTATTAGAAGCAAGAGGTTTAGTGCTTGCTTGGATACAAGAAATCTAGACAAAATCTAAATATTTTTAACTCAATCGTTTTCTTTTTAACTAAACCTCACTATTTTTATTATTCTCAATATAATTAAATAATATGAATCAATCATTTTCTCACAACAATTTTAATTCAGTACTCATTCACTCACATAATTTTAACTAATCATCACTTCACATTATCTCTCTTCTACATTTACATCAAATCAACTTTAATTATTTTATTTTAAATATTATTTTAATATATACTCAAAACTCCACTAACAATTAATCATAACACATTTTTTTAAATTTAAAAATAACAAAAAATCTTATATCCAAGATTCTGCTAGTTTTGCTCAACATTCTATTTTAGAGGGCCAAAACCTGATACATAATATGGGTTGGGCCCTCAATCGAATCAGTAAATGGGCTGTTGAGCGAGCAGTAGGCTCAACTATCAACTATATAGGTTTTCAGCTTTGATATACCAAAAATATACCAAATTATTTTATTTTAATAAACAAATATACTTAAATTTTATTGGGGGTTATTTTTGATGTTTTTCTATAAATTAATCTATATAACTCATTTTAAGTTTCATGAAGCACGGCTCATTTGGTTGATAGACATAATTGAACAGAAGATCATAGAGAGATTAATGGATGATCAACAATAGAACTTTCAAATGTAAACAAGGAAAATCAACTATTGTACCCAACTTGACATGAGAGAGATTAATGGACGATCAACATTACAACTCAGGATTAGTAATCACATTACAACTCAAGATTAGGATTTAGGATTAGGATTAATTAGGATTAGCTGTGGTGAGGAGGTTAATCTGTTGTAAAAGTGGGGTTAGGGTTTGCATGATCTTCTCGCACGGATGATTGTGAACTCCTTCGTACGATGTTGTAACCGTACCACTGTCCTTACTTAGCCTCTGAACTTGTTTCTTCACGTTGCACGTGGGGTGAGTGCACCGGTAATAGCTTCTTTACATGAGATAAAATGTAAGTTTTAAAATGGAAAAGATATATATATATATATATATATATATATATGCAATATGAAATTAAAATGTAGATAATTAGGAAATGAAGTCCATGGGAACTGCTGATTCTTAGTCAATCTTGATTGTCATATCCTTTCAAAAGTAGTCTTTCATAATGCAACAATCAAGAGATGGTAGCTTTTAAAATCAATCAAAATAAAGACAATATCACCGAAATTCCACGTGTGTAGTTGCAAAATAACATGTCACTTCCCACATGTGGCTTTAGCTGACTACAGTCACATCCACGTGGCTTTTATGAAATTTCAAATGTAGTCCGGTAACTCTATAAATGTTTCAAACATAGTCGAATTAATTGGAATAGTGATGTGCCAAATTGAGCTGAAACTAAAAAATCGAGTCAAACCGTGCAATTCGGTGTTGTTCGGTTTGATTATATTTTTTTATATAAAAAAATCCGTTTCGTTTGTTTCCTACATTACGGTTCGTTGCGGTTATATGTTTTCATAAATGTTGTTTTCGGTTTTGTTCAGTTGGGAGCAAACCGCACCGAACAACACGAAATTGAATAAAATATATAGAATAATCGAGATAAAACCGAAAACCCAGCAGAACTGTATTTATGTGCGGTTAAGTTCGGTTATTTTAGTGCACAAAAATTTGGGTCAGTTTTTTCTAAGTTGAGGGACACTTGAGTTATTTTTTGTTCTAGGTTTGGTTATCTCGCGGTTTGGCTCCATTTTTAACTAAACCGCACAATTGGTCACCCATATTATTGGAAAACAGATGTAATTTACCAATACTAAAACAACTTTAGCCGGGAATATGAATTTCAGTCACAGACTCACAAATCAAAAATCAAAATCATGTAAATTTGAACTTCTCTTAAAATTCTTGAATTCAAGATCCCATAATAAGTACTAATATCTGTGTAACTATATACATATTATGAACCAATTAATGCATGCATGCTTAATAAATTACCTGGGAAACCTGCTATTCTTAACAGATTTTTGTCCGTACTTTCTCCATCGATAGCCATCATCGAGCACATCCTCTTCGCTCCTCGTTTGAAACACAAAGCGCGGCACACTCGGCTTCGTGCTTTTAGAAACATTTCTTCTTTTGTTTTTGCCGATATTTTCATTTTCCGGCAACATTATCCCCTGATTACCAACAAGCCCACTAGTCGAACCTGAAGTAATAGGCAATCCCAATTGATCTGGAGGGCTCTGAAAAAGTGAAGGCACGTGAAATGGTGACATGAACATTTGTCGTTCATCCATGATGGGCGGGTTGAAGGTGTATCTAAAGAGGGAAAAATGAGTGAAGGTTTGAAGGTGTATTTAATATTATCATATGGTGTGTGTGTGTGTGTGTGTTTTGGTCAAATGACCAAGAAACTTCTAAGTTGGAGACATTTTTTTATCCATGGAGGTAAATTCAGGCCAACTAAATTTCAACTAATTCAGTTCAACTGCCCCGTGACTAGGTGCCGTACGTGTGTACGAGAAGCCTAACGAGCTAGAGAGGCCTTTGTCTTAGGTTAAGAGTGTTGCTTTGATTACAATTTAGTAATTTACAAAGCATGTGTTTTTGGGTTAATTTGGTATATAATTCACCAAATGAAGTGCGTGTAGGTAAAGAACGATCTACCACAAGGCCACAACAGATTTCTATCTTCATCTCGAAACATACCATTGAACGTAAACTGTTGCCTG